CCTGCTAAAGTCCAGGGTTGCAATTCTACTTGCTATTCTACTGGTCCTACCACACAAGATCCTGAGTTCCACCATCTCGTGGTTGCTGCAACTGAGGCAGCCCTCAACCCTTACTGCTTCGACCAGTGCTCCTTGTTAGTGAGGATGAGATCCAGCAGCGCTCCTCTCCTGGTTGGCTCATCCAGCATTTGCAGGAGGTTCACGGTGTGTGAACACTTGCAGGGATGGTGACTCCAGCACTGCCCTGGGCAGCCTGTTCCAATGCCTGAGCACCCTGTGGGGAAGGAATTGTTCCTTATCTCCGTCTAAACCTCCCCTCGTGCAGCTTGAGGCCTGTTTCTTCTTGTTCTATCACTTGTTATTTGGGAGCAGAGACCAGCCCCCTCCTGGCTCCACCCTCCTGTCAGGCAGTTGTAGGGAACCCTAAGGTCTCCCCTGAGCCTCTCTTCCCAGACTGAACCTCCCAGGTCCCTCAGCCGTTCCCCATCACACTTGTGCTCCAGGCTCTGCACCAGCTCCATTGCCCTTCTCTGGACCCACTCCAGCACCTCAGTGTCTCTCTTGCAGTGAGGGGCCCAGAACTGAACATAGGATTTGAGGTGCCGCCTCAGCAGTGCAGGGGTTGATCACTGCCCTGGTTCTGCTGGACACACTATTGCCGATACAGGTCAGGATGCTGTTGCCCTTCTTGGCTGCCTGGGCACAAGCTGGCTCATATCATGCTGTCACAAACCCACTCCTCTCTCTGCAGGATGCTGGGGAGAAATTGCTCAGCAAAAGTACCACCACCCCTAGCAGATAACAGATCTCCAAAGAGAGAAGGGAATGTGTGCACGTGTCTGATCTCAACCTTCAAAGACAGGAAATCAAAACGTTGCTAGAGCAGAAAACACAAATCCAAGAACTTAAACTATCTCCTGGTATTCCTTTAGATATTCAGGGCATCCGCTATCATCAAGGAGGCTGTGGAAGATGAATCACATTTAGTCTGCAGTTTGTAAAGGAAGTGTTTACATCGAGGCAGGTAAACACCCAGATTCTTACAATCTCTTACAAATACATTGCCTTGTAAGCCAGCAGCTTGCAAGCATCAACTTAGTAGTTAAACTGTAGTGAAAATGCCCAATTGCATGAACTAAGTGAACTGGTTTTAGTGTTGGATGACGGGGAGATGGATCTGGTAACCACAGAGGAAAGCACAGCACCTGCCCTAGCACCAGAACTGATGTGTCATTACTGAACCACAGGGATATGGTCATTTTTAGGTTAGAATTTATTGAGGAACTAATATACAGCTGGTGTCCTGGCTCTTTGGGGCTTTCAGCCTCATAGTTCCTTGGCTGCATTGTGGTACCACCTACCTTGCAGCCGTTCCCTGCCAGCCTACTGTGGGTATCCCACAGTGAAAAAGCCACTTTCTGCATGCATAGCACTGCTTCAAGGAGCAGCTGAGCCATATGTGGCTGGGGCTGGGCATTGCAACTCCATCAAACCCCCTGTGTAAGCACAGAGCCAGTGGTGGTTCCTAATGTTCTGTGCTGCAGTGTGCCCAGAGAGGAACTGGTGTGAAAGCAAAGCTAGGGATGAAGACCTCCCTGAATGACACAGGTGTCTGCAAAGCGGGAGGACACCAAAGCACCTGTGTGCAGGTGAGGATTGAATTAGAATGGTTTGGGTTGGGACCTTAAAGCTCATCCAGTTCCAACCCCTTGCTACAGGCAGGGACACCCTCCACTAGAGCAGGCCCCAACCTGGCCTTGAACACTGCCAGGGACGGGGCAGCCACAGCTTCTTTGGGCAACTTCTGCCAGGGCCTCACCACCCTCACAGGGAAGAACTTCTGCCTAAGATCTAATCTAAATCTCCCCTCTGTCAGCTTAAAGCCATTCCCCACTTGTCCAGTCACTACAGGCCCTTGTCAAAAGCCCCTCTCCCGATTTCTTGTAGGTACTGGAAAGCTGCTCTAAGGTTTCCCTGGAGCTTTCTCTTCTCCAGACTGATTCTCTCAGCCTGTCTTTATAGGAGAGGTTTGTTACAATAATCTTTGGTCTCATGCATGTATGTTAACAATCAGGCTAGCGCTTCAATTATGAGGTGAGAAAGCACACCCCAAAGTATGTATTGAGCAGAGCACACACCAGTGTGGGAAGAAATAAAAGCCATTACCCGCTGTTTGTGGGCCGTCAGGGTGGTTTGATCCTCTGGAAGGTTTCAGCGAGGATGCAGGCGTTGTGGCAGGAGAGAGGATGTGCCAGGGCCGTGGGTACCAGAGCAGTATGCTACTCCACGCAGGGCACGGCTGCCTCAGAGCCTGCTGCCGGCCGCTGAAACACAGCAATGAGCTCTTGGTCCCCCAAAGTGCTTCATTTATCACCTTTTTCGGACAGTCAAGTCTCTGGTGCCCTCTGTTGTTCTGCTCGCATCAACTCAATGCTTCACCATTATCCTTACCCACCCAGACTGTGCTCCCCCACTCGCCTCACACAAACCCCAGCAATTAAAATCTAATGTTTTCAGTTCTGGAAAAACAAATAATTTCTGATCTAAAACCCATAATGGTTGTAAATTGCCCTTCTGGCAGCAAAAGGGGGCACAGCAGGCTGGGCAGCCTCCGGTGTGGTTGCAGAGTGTGTGCGGTGGGGGGGGCTGACAGCCTTTCTGAGGGGACACATCGGTGCTTGTGCACCCCCTGATAGTGAGCCCAGGATGAGAGGTCCCAGTGTGCTTCTCTTCAGTGTCCTTACAAGAAGGGTGACAGACAATATGGGCTGGGTCATCCTCTGTGAAGCGGTCAGGTGTCTAACACTGCTCATCAGCATTACTGCAAAACCCAAGCTGGTAATAACAATCACTGGTCAGAGATGCTGATAAGGCAGTGAGAGTGCTATTGGGACCTTTAGAAACTTGTTTAAGAGCATGCCCCAGTGGGACTTGACAGTCATTTTGATGGGTTTTGTTGTCTGTTGGCTGCAGCAGTTGCAGTCCTATCTGTGAGAGCCAGGTTCTAGCTTCCTCAGGATTTGTGCCATTAGTTCATATCTTCTGAACTCACAGTTCCATAGGTGCCTACAGCAGATTGAGCAGCAGCCTTGGACTCCCTGAAGGCAGATGCAGGTCACATGCATGGGTGGCAAAGGTCTAGAGAGAGTTGAAAGGGCTTCCTCAGGGGTGGGAGCAGTAGCCCACTGGGGAGGTGTCTGTGCCAAGGCTCAGCCCTGATACCTCCTGGATTTTGTGCCTTTATGGCACTGGGTAAGTCCTGCTTTCATCCTTCACATCTATATGATGCATTGACTTGAAGACGAAGGGCAGTCACCAGAGTCTAGGCTGTTTTGTAGGGCCATGTACTTAATAATATGCTGTTACTGCCTGAACCCTCCCCACTGCCCTCCAAAGGAATATGAAAGAAATAAACTGTATTATTTTAATAATACAAACAACCTGAAACACACAATGAGGTATAACATGATATATTCTTTTGTATGTGTTGACAATAAGGATTAATAGACTTTAGCTGCAAAATGAAATAAAACAGGGAGACATACATGGGTCCCCTGTCTTCTTGTAAGAGTAACTAGAGGGTGGAATGGAGACATGTTAATGACCAGTGATTTCATACACCCGTTTACAGGTCTCTGTGAAACTAATAGAAGCATAGGGTATAAACTGCAATTAACTTAGTAATGCTAAACCTAACAAAGATCTTGCACCATCCCTGGAGACATTCAAGGCCAGGCTTCTGGGCCTTGAAATCTAGTTTAAGATTTCTCTGCCCATTGCAGGGGGGGTTGGACCGGATGAGCTTTGAAGGTCCTTTCCAACCGAAACCATTCTATGTCTCTACCATCTCTCCAGAAAGAGCAACAGTTATCCCAATAACACTGAAGATGTATCTTCTCTTGATGTTGTGGGGTGCTGTTTTTCGTCCCGCTTGCCTCCCTCCTTCCACATCCCTCTTTCCTTTAGTAAGTGTGTGTCTGAAAGGGGTGGGTTTGATGTTTTTTCACTGCTGGTTTTGGGTGTAGAAGGGCTTCATGGAACTCCCTGGTCACAAAGTAGTAGCAGACACTATCCAGGCAGCAGTTAGATGTGGCAATGCAGCTTGTCGTGGAGGAGATGTTCTTCACAACCTGGAGCATAAAACAGGTAGCTCCAGAGCTATCCATTACGAACGTGGCAAGTAACCCAAAGAAGGCTGGCAGAAAACATACTAGAAACACAATCAGGTTTGCATATATAACGTGAACAGCTTTCTGGATTGATCTCTGGTGAGAGAATTGGTGTTCAGGCATCTGTTGAGGCTCCTGATCACTTCTGTGGAGCAAAAAGTCAAAATTGCCAATGGAAGAATAAAAACGAAGAACATGGAAAGCAGGCTCAGAGCAGCAGGCACGGTGGTATCCTTCTGGAAGCAGAGGGTGGATTGGCTCTGCCAAATCTGTACGGTGGCACCAGTTATAATGGAGACCCACAGAAGCCTATAGAGAAAGGCTGCCTTTGATGGAGACCTGAAGGTCCTGGCTTTCAGGAGGTGCTTTATGGCAATGTATTGATCAATGAAAGACAAATGAAATTATGTAGATACTAACATGTTGATAAAATAAATAGATTGTTTCTATAAACTGGCAGAGTTTGTCTCGGGTTGACTTATTCCAGAGCAAATAAGCCATGAAAGGCAAGGTGCAGATGACAAAGCAGTCTGCAAAGACTAAGTTGATTACATACACCCTTGTTTCTGTCCACTTCTTTGTCTTGCAGAAGAACATCCAGAGGGCAAGGGCATTAAGTAATGCTCCAAAAAAGAAAATGAAGTTATACAGAGCAAATTGAATGAGGCGGACAACGTGATAAAGTTCTAGACTTGTGATACTGCAATTGCTGGACACATTCACTGTCCTGTTGTGTAGATGTTGTGTGATCTTCTGAGACCTGAAATAGAAAAATACATAGTACTTCTTAATAGATGCATGTCCTATTAAAAAAAAAGGGGAGGGTTAAATAAATATTTACTTTGCCCATCACAAATGTGAATTTGAGTCTACAAAGCCAGCCTTCTCAGCCAGCCTGTAACTGGGATGCATCCTTTGTCAAGCTTTGTTTGTGCTTACTCAGTTTAGGAGTAAATATCTCCAAGTACACTTCCAATAGGACATGGCAAACAGTCTTTATTAAATAGTGGTATCTTGAATGGAGGGGTGGAATAGCAGTGAGAAGAAACCCCATAGACAGTGAGGGCATCCTGTGACAATGTGATTCCTTAAGCCAGGCTGTGCAGATGAGGTAAGATTACCCTTAGCTTGCTTATGAGCTAGGCAGGGATTGCAGCAACCAAACATAAAGCCCAGCACAACCTGTGAGCAAAAGCTCTTATACCAGGTCTGCTGGCTTGGGAGACAGAAGAGTGGTGTGAAGGCCTGCAAGGGCATAGCAGATGTCACTCGGTGGGCATGTGCATGCCCTGGCTCTAATTGGGCAGGTTTCTGAGCCTTTGAGCCTTGCAAACATGGAGCTCCTGCTCAAAGCTGAGGAAAAGAGCTGACTCTGAGTTCCTGCATCCCAAAGGCATGCTTGAAACCCTAAGTGAGTGAGTGAGGCATGGAGCTGTCCACTCCTTGGAAGGGGAATTTGGGGTGGAAGGATTAACCCGATTTTAGGCCTGTGCATTCAGGAAAGAGTACAATTCTGTGGATGTAAAGCAGACAGACACACCTGGAAGAGGAAACACCAGTGCAAAACAAGGGACTTGCCATTAAGGGCTGCATGAGATGGCTCCTGCTCAAGGCAGGCATCTGGCCACCCTGGGAAGTCCATGAGAGGTAAGTAGCAGTTACTGAGTCTGTGTAACACTGGCTGCAGGATGTTCTGCAAGAAAATTGGTTATGTGAAGAGTGTGAGTTCATGGACTGATAAAAGTCAGCTTTTATCAGCCCCCATCCTGTGCACAGTGGCTCTATGTGGCCTGCAGAAGGAACAGTTCTCTAACATGCTGATTCTGTGTGTATACATCACTGAATTTCTGCTTGCATCTAAATGCAATCTGGAAAGAAATTAACCTTTTAATTTGAAGCATATATTTTTCCATTCTAACAGGAGACTGAAGTAGTGAAACCCTACAGCTTTCAGAGATTTCGGAAGGGACGCCATGACTGAACATGCCTGGTTAAGCAGTTATTTGCCTCTGCAAGCAACTCAGACCTCCTTGTGGTCTGTTGGTGAGAGCACTGCCTGCAAAATCAGACTTCAGTGACTGATAAACACACAAATAACTCAATTGCTGGGGGGTATGTAAGCGTCTTGGACACTCACAGGCGCTAACATGACTCCTGCGCAGAGCTCTCCAGTTGTTGTGTGCTCAGGTCTGGGTTTCCCAACAGAGGTTTGCTGCTCGCTGCCTGCACCCTGGAAGGAAGCTGTCACCTGAGGAAAACCTCTCTGAACTACAGTAAGTAGCAGTAGGGAAATACCTTACATCAGAGGCTGAAGGTGCCACTTTGTTATGCTCTCTAACTGCATGAGGCAGATGTCTTTGCTTGCATGGCTGATGCCCAGGTATCTTATATTCTCCTATGTTCTCTTAGAGTCTCTTCCCTTCTTTCTTACATTCTCTCCTCTTCTTTTATATTCTCCTACATTCTCTGATATTTTGAGTCTCTTACCTTTTCTTCCTTTATATTCCCTTCTCTTCTCTTACATTCTCTTCTTCTCTCTTACATTCTCTCCTCTTCTCTTACGTTCTCCTGCATTCTCTTTTAGTCTCTTAAAGTCTCTTTCCTTTTCTTTTATATTTCCTTCCCTTCTCTTACATTCTCTTCTCTTACATTCTCTTATATTTTCCTATATCCTCTTAGAGTCTCTTCTCTTAGTCTCTTTCCTTTTCTTCTCTTATATTCCCTTCCCTTCTATTGCATTCTCTTCTCTTACATTCTTTTCTCTTACATTCTCTTCTCTACTCTTATAATCACTTACATTCCCTTTGATTCTCTTCTCTTGTATTCTCTTACCTTCTCTTTCATTCACTTCTCTTAGATTCTCTTATAATCTCGTGTTCTCTTAAATGCTCTTCTCTTAGAATCTCTTAGAATGTCTTAGAATCTCTTCCCTTCTCTTGTATTCTCCTTCTCTCCTCTCCTTTCCTCTTTGATTCTCTTTGATTCTCTTCCTTTAGAATCTCTTAGACTCTTTTAGAATCTCTTCTCTTGTAATCTCTCTTCTCTTTTCTTTTCTTAGATTCTCTTCTCTTGTATTCTCTTACATTCTCTTATCTTAGATTCTCTTAAAATCTCTTAGAATCTCTTGGAATCTCTTGCAATCTCTTCTCTTATATTCTCTGGTGTGCTTCCACCCTGCCACAGCAAGGATGGTCTTCCAGATTTGTGGAGCAGTGACAAGGCCCTGCAGATCCAACCCTTCCAGGGCTCAGATGCTGCAGACAGACAGCAGCAGGGCCTGGGGAAGCACTTGGGCTGTGCTGCCTTTCTGCTTCCTATTCAGTGTAACTACAACTGGATAGAACCTGGTGGGGAGGTGACCTGCACTGACTTCCGTACAGAACTCTCTTCCTCATGGCACGTGGGAGAGATAGAGAGGTTGTGCGCTTGCACTTTGTCTCTGGCTGCCTGCAAACAAGAGCTCTGTGCTGACAGGGGAGACCAGAGGCTCACAACAGTCGCTGACACAGAGCAGCAGAGTTAGAGCTGCGTCACAGGAAGCAGCTCTGGCTACCAGCGACTGAAGGCAGTTGTTTTCAGAGAGAACATGTTACAGGAATACAGCTCCTTCAGACACTTGAAAAGGCAGCTTAGCACAGAGGTTCATCACTGTACTGAGAGAGAAGAGAAACCAACCCAACCCTGATTCAAGTCTGGCAGTCCCATCTGGAGAGTATTGGCTGAACCTTCTGCTTCATGCAGAATACCTTAGAGTCAACAGCTCAAGAAAACTGAGGCTACAGTTGAACTGAGTTCTTGAGCTTGCTACAAAAGCATACTGCTGTTTTAAGAGTCTGACTTATAAAGGTGGGGAGACAGACTGAAATGAGAGTTTCCTCATTAATCCAGGATGTGCTACACTATCTGGTATGTGGGCTTGCCACAGGACCGAGTCAGCCTGATTTTCTGTGCTTGGCTATGTTCTGGAGAATATCCACGTGATTAATCAGAAACGGGTCAGGCAGGAAGGAATCAAAGTGAGCTTTTTTTAAAGGGGTTTGATTTAGTTCTCTTAAAGACCTAAAGCTGCTGGAGCTGTGACGAGAGCTACTCTTGTGTCTGCAATGCACGTATTGTAACAGCGTGGCAGTATGTGTATTCCAAATGTATTTCACTTTGATGTAATGTGAGGAAGAGAAATGTTTCATTGCTTATGTTAACCTAATTATGTAAACCAAAGTGCTTGTCCCTGCTGAATGTGAACTGTTTAAAACGTCCAAGTAATTGGTGGAGCTGTATAGTTCTCTGCCTTACATTTGAAATATGGGATTACATTTAAAGGGTTTTTTTTAAGAAATCTTTCTATTCCTAGATGTAGCATTTTAAACTCCTGATTTACTTTGTGTCTAATGTTGTTTCATGTGTAATTTGTGGTTTGTTTTCTGAATGGAAGTTATGCACACCTCAGAACTGAAGGTTGGAGTCCTGTTCTGTGCCATTTTTGTAAATACATCACTTAGGAGATGCGGAGGGGTTTTGGCTGTTACTGATTATAGTCATACCAGAACAAACCCTCCTGTGGACACAGTTAGATGAGTATGAAGTGCCTTGTGCTGGCATATCTTTATTCACATTGATAGGAATAAACTATACTGGTCTAAGCACTTTCACAGGAATAACTATCTTCTCCAAGGGTTTGGTCTACTGAGACAGCTTGGTTGAACTAACAGCTCGCTGCCACCAAAAGGGGCAGTTTTTTGCTCCTCCCATGCTCCCTATTCCTACCAATATGTTCCAGCTGCTTCTCTTTTACCTTTACTGGTCTGGTGCTGGTCTGATCCCTTCACAAGATAAATAACTTGTGAATCCAGTGGAAAAACTAAGCCGGTTTAAGAAAAGGACTCATTTTCTGCTTGATCAGCTCTCCAGAGGATTGGATGGACATGAGGCTGGGAGAAGCAAAGAAACAGGACTCTGCAGCCAGGGTTTGAACAAGGAGAAGGTGGGACAAGTCACTTTGGAGGTGCTGAGCTGCAAGTTCAGCCCCATCATCTTGCCGAGCCGTGTGCTTGGAGATTTGTGCTGCTTTATCTTCTGCAGGGCTGGGCAGCACGGCTTCTGTGGGCAGACAGCCCTCAGGCTTGGAATGATAGACTATCACATTGCTGTTAATTGCTTCAACTTAATGAAACCAACTCAGGTAGCTGCACTGCTGACTTTTCTAAGCTTCTTCCCGTCTGGTCTGTGGGGCGTATACTCCAAACCCATATTGCAGTGTTCTAGAGATGTGTCAGCTCAGAGATTGTTTCCTCACTCTGTATGACATCCAGAAAGTATGTACAAGTGCCATATTTACTCAGTGATTCATTTACTGCTCATATGTATATTCACATGCAATGCATACCAGACTTTGCTTTGGCCTACAGTATTTAACTTAGGGCATTTTGTGGATAATACTTTAGGCATGGTTTATATATAAACAGAGAGTTTATGTAACTACATATATTAAGCAGGTGCCTAACAAGTGCAATTCCAGGATATAAGCAAGCCATTTTACGTTATTGCTCAAAAATAACACAAATCTTCCTTGGTAATGGAAGCAGAGACAACAAAGAGTGCATCAAAAATGAGAAGACAACCTTAACAGTACATTAAGCCTGAAAAGCAAATCTACTTTGTGATCAAAATCTGGAGATAGGCATCTCTCCTTTTGTCAGAGTTAGGCGGGTATTTGTGCATCCAGCCAGCCCAACAGCTAATGGAAATTCTGATTGGAAAGTGCCCGCTCCAAGTCTCGTGTCACATTTCTAGCACTTCCAACAATTTATGTGCTTAAGTGGTGCTGAATCCTGTAAGAATGCCAAGGAAAACCTTTGGAATTTGACCAAGTGAACAAACTCCTTAATTCTATCACAAGACTCTTGATCTGACAGACCTGCATAGTGTTACACTGCAATATACTACACCCAGAAGAAATGGAAATAAAATGCTCTTTTGTAATAATGAACATTGTCAGGCTGCACTGTGATTATTTGTTTGGGGAGCGTTTTGTTTCTGGGTTACCTGAAGATCAGACATAACCATCTTTTGGGTTTGATCCCTTGGGAGGGAAGTCAAGAAAATGCTTGAAACAAGATCCTGAGACTCTACAGGATTTATAGCTACATAGTCCCGCTTCCTGTGCTCCAGTAGCCAGCAAAGAAGCTGTCCCAGTGGGATCAGCTCCCCTGCTCCAATCCCTGTGCTGTGCCAGGGCTCGTGGGGGATGCCTTACCCTGCACTGCTAAGCGAATTGATGCTGTTAGCCCTTGCATCTGACGTAACCCCCTATAAATCTCCTGACCAGAGGTGATGGGATTGTGCTGCCTGCATCTCACACAAGAATTTTTCCTTGTTTCTCTATATCTTTAAGTTGGAAGCTATCATATGTTTCAGTTTAGGGTTTTTATACCAAGACAACGCTGTCCTGATGAGATAGAGCACTGCTCTTCTCTGGTCACTGTTCGCAAGGGGAGGAGGGGAGCAATAAGCACAGCAGCCTGAGGCAGCTTTGCCTCTGGATGAGCCCTGGCGGGGAGCTGGCACCAGGGACACACTGCCTCTGGAGCACGGCAGGCTTCAGGGAGGAGCACAGGGAGCCGTGCTGACAGCGCCTGCTTTTAGCCTCCAGGCTGCTCCCTGCGAAGATGCAGAGGGCTGGGAAAGCTGGGCGACCCCTCGCAGCCCCGCTCCTTCCCACCCGTCCCGCAGGAGATACCACAGGGATGGAGGCGAAGACAACACTGCCGCGGGAATCCCTGGGGCAATGAGAACCCGGAGATGGAGCAGATGTGTCCTGTTTATGGAGTGGAAGGGATGCCAGAGAGGGGCTCTTCAATCAGGGACTGTAGAGATAGGACACGGGGTGATGGGTTCAAGCTGAAACAGGGGAAGTTCAGGTTAGACATAAGAAAGAAGTTCTTTACTGTGAAGGTGGTGAGGCCCTGGCACAGGCTGCCCAGAGAAGCTGTGGCTGCTCCATCCCTGGCAGTGTTCCAAGGCCAGGTTGGACAGAGCCTTGGGCCGCATCGTCTAGTGAGGGATGTCCCTGCCCACAGCAGGGGGTTGGAACTGGATGATCTTAAGGTCCTTTCCAAGCCAAACCATTCTATGATTCTATGAGTGCACTGCTGGCAGGAGGAGTTCATGGCCCCAGTAAGCTGAGCTCCAACAAACCTGTCAGATTCCCGAATATGTGTGCTGGGGAGCAGGAGTTGACTAAGCAGCCACCATATCCTGAGAAACCGCCACCCTGGGGGGCTCTGAGTTCCAGCAGCTACATCATCTGCTTGCCAGTAAGCCAGGGCTAGGGCCAATTTGTTCTTCAACTAGAAACTGGAAATTCCCAATGACTGTG